ATTTAAATTTTTAAATGTTTTAAGTATTAATAGTCAAAATAATAGTAAGTTTGTTACTTACACTTACGCTTCACAAGCGCGGCAGGAAAGTACGGATATAAAATCCGCAGAAAACATTAAAGGATTCTCAGAGACTACACGTCAATCAATCAATTTAGATAAATATTCATCCAAATTAAATAATAATATAAATCCTTCCGCCCGGTGGTGTGCCGTAGCGCACCACCGGGCGGGCTCTCAAAAATTTTGAAATAGATTAGCGGGTTTAATTGATGGGGATGGATATATTCAAGTTCGTAAAATAAATGGAATAAATAAACTTAAAACTATTGAAATTAAATTACATAATAGAGATATTCGTATATTAAATACTATTTTAAATACATTACATCTAGGTAGAATATACAGATATAAAAACAATCTATACTCTAAATGAATCGTTTCAACTACAAGTGAAATGGAATATCTTATTGTAAATCTTAACGGATTAATAAGAATTAAAGTTTATAATTTTAAAAAAGGTTGTGATTGTTTAGGTATTGAATTTAAAGAAGCAAATTATAATATTTTACCAAATGATCCTTATTTTGCAGGATTAATTGATACTGACGGTTCTATCGTATTTAATTACTCTGGAAACCGTATTGAATGTAATTTAGAATTTAAACTTAATGAATATACATCTAAACTAAACTTAGACAATGTTATACCTCACTATAAACCTGCAATATCTATAAGAAATAAACAAAATTATAAATCAATTTCCTTTAAATTTCAAACTGTTAACGGTATGGTCTTTTTATATCAATATTTTATGATAAATAGACTATTTTCTGATATGAAATTCTACAGAATTTCACAAATATTAAGATTTATCGAAATTCGTAAATATAATAAATATCCTTTTAACAGTGAAGAATTCTTAATTTACTCTGAATTCTTATTAAACTGAATTCAATATCAAAATCCTAAATGACATAAAGTTCCATTTGTATCTAAATTACGTTTGAAGAGATAGTCCACTTTAAGCATTTCCACTACGTATTATCAATGGGTGCAGTATTTTCATTATTTTCTGCCTATTATTATTGAAGTCCTCTAATTTTAGGTTTAAATTATGATGAAAAATTATCTCAAATACAATTCTGATTATTATTTATCGGTGCAAATTGTATTTTCTTACCTCAACATTTTTTAGGTTTAAACGGGATGCCTAGAAGATATCCAGATTATCCTGATGCATTTTATGGATGAAATTTAGTTAGTTCTCTTGGTAGTTTTATTTCTATATTATCTGTTTTCTTATATATTTATATAATATATGACCAATTAGTTAACGGTTTAGAAAATAAAATTAATAATAAAAGTTTAATTTTTAATAAAACACCAGATTTTATTGAGAGTAATTTAATTTTCAATTCTAATTCTATAAAATCTAGTTCATTAGAATTTTTATTAACTTCTCCTCCAGCTGTACATTCATTTAATAGTCTTCCATTACAATCATAATACTTAACCAATTATTATAATTATATAATTATTGAATAAAGTATTATAATTAAAAAATTCCTCACGCTACCGCATAGCGATTGAGTGAGGAAAAGGGGCCGTTATACTAAAAAATTATATAGCGGCCCCTAAATATAATGACATATTCCCTGCAATACAATTTAGTAGGGCAGGG